CAACGACCACTAGTAACGGCCAACTTCTTAGTGAACACAAGCATTAACGCTTTTGATGGTAAACATTACGTACGCGCTCCGTTACTGGGAGCAGTCAAGATCTCATTTCCCTGCTTCATCGTAATACTAAGGCAGTTTTCTGTACCTGACCTGTGGAAAAAGAAAAATAGTGGACACATTTGGCCAGAAATCCACCTCACACCGGGCCCGATAATTGCAGACCAGCTCAAAGGTTACCCAGGTGAGTGTTTGCCAGGTCTTATGTGTACATAACACTGGGGTAAGCTTGAAGTCAAACTCGAGTCTACGACCTCCCAGCACTTAGACACGATTCTCGACAAAATAGACTCGCCAGAGGAAGCCAATAAGGTGATTAACGTCCTATCGGCCCTCCTCACCACTATTAATTTTGGTCCGATTTAATATTCAAAAACTGAAGGTAGGACTAACTATGACATTGGGACGTCAAACATCTCAATCCCCCCGTGACCATGGGTGCTGTAAAGCACTCGAAACTTCGGGATAATAAAAATAAATTAAAGAAGTAATTAAACGCGATAAAATCCGTAAATAATAGTTTTATTCAATCTGAAGTGTTCCAGTAAATTTAAGAAAGCATTATCTAGTGCCTAAATTTTAGTTATAGTTATTAATAATGAATTGTACTAAGTAGACTTCACGTTATAAAATATTCATCAAACGCATTAGAAGTAAATACAGTTTTCTACGATTCTGGTTAAAACAATTCAAGAAATGTTTAATCTAAGAACTAATTAATCATCCCTAAATATAAATTTAACTGAAAATGAATAATAATACCCCGAATCTGTAAACTGACAACTGTAATCATTAATCATATTATCAAATACTTTATACAAAAATAAATTATTACGACTAATATTTAATTTATTTAAACTAAAATGTTAGCATGACTTGAATAACGCGTATTTGTGTAAATATTACTTAAATTCTTATAATATGAAGACATACCTAATATACACTACCTATAGAAATAAATTAATATAAAAGCCTGAAAAAAAAAACCATGTCCCATCCAAACGCTAGACCATTGGTGAGGACCTTTACGAAAATTCATTTATCTTCACGATAATCGCAAATAACCGGCCATGTGCGAGTAAAACTCGCGCATGAAGAGTTCCGTGCGATCGTAAAATACGTTTCTAGTAACACAAAAATTAAAAAATATACAACGTATCCCGAAATTCAACGATAAACGGGCACCAGAGGGTGAACCTGCTCATGACTACTCGAGAAAAAAAAATCTAAATCGTTTTTGAAATTACAAAAAAATGAAATTCTTCGAAAAGCGATACCCCTATATGGTATTTTTAACTACCCTGAGCACATTTTAATTTTTTTTTTGTATCGGCAACCTTAGTAGTACTGCTATCTACCACAACCCTTATAAATCCCAGAATACATGTAGTTTTTACACAAAAATCGATGAAAATTATTTTTTCCCCTAAAACTTTGAAAGATTTTTACTTTCAGTCCACTTTCACTCATCGTGGTGTAAAAAAAGTACTGACACTACTATGGCAAGTTTTTTTTAAAAATTGACGCAACTAACCAAGATTCTAAAAAGGTATAATACTCTTGGGAAACTAGCCACAAAAAAAGCCTACTATATTTCTAAACAAGAACCGAAATTTTGAACATAATTTTTTGTTGCTAGTTAATCACTTTCACTACACTACACTATGTGCCAAAAAAGGTTTTTGTTGCAAGTTCTTAGAACTTGAATTGGAGATGTGTGTAGTCAGTAAAATTTAGATGTTAGAGAGAGATAGATAGAAGGAGACTATACGTTAGAGAGAGATAGATGATGTTCATTGTTTAATAACAATAGGGCAGGTAGACAAGTTGCTTTAGTGTTCTCAACAAGTCAGTACACTCTGCTCCTTTGTTTACTGTGCACCGTTCCGTATTCAATTGATGTGGCTCTCGTACTAACGAATTTTGGCTTCGCTTTTTGGACTGGTGATCTGCAAACTGAACTGACCTGACATTATTTTGGACTGTGATTGTGTTTTTGTGAATTGGACTATTGGCGTATTTTGGACTGTTTAGCGTTTATCATGCCGCTACCGTACACACCGTTGGAATACGCTGATATGCATCTCATTTATGGAGAATGCCGATGCAATGCTAACGCTGCTAGCAGATTGTATCGAGAAAGGTACCCAAATGCTCTTGCTCTAATTATCGAGTATTTATTAATGTGCATCAAGCGCTTGCAGAGGGTCGTTTACCATCTGCCAGGAGAAATTCTGGAAGACCTAGATTAGGACGCGATGAAGAAGTTCTCAATGAAATAGAAAACGATTCGACTACCTCGGTACGTGCCATAGAACTAGCTACGGGAATACAAAAAGTTCTGCGCATCGAATTTTTAAACGTTACAGACTTCACCCATACCACTACAGGCGTGTGCAGGCGTTATTACCGCGGGAATATTCACTACGGGTCGCATTTTGCCGTGTGATGCTACAAAAGCACAGGGAAGAACCCCAATTCTTAGATAAAGCTCTGTGACCGGATGAAACAACCTGCAAGAAAAATGGCTATTTAAATCTTCACAACTTACATAGTTGGAGCAATGAAAATCCGCACCTGATGAGACAAAACAAATCCCAATATCAATTCAAGATTAACTTATGGACGGGCATATTAAATGGAAAAGTAATTGGGCCCTTTGAGTTACAAGGAAACTTAGATGGAAATAGTTATTTGAACGTTTTACAAAACGACTTGCCAGAATTATTAAAAGACATGCCTTTGCGTGACTTACAAAACATGTGGTTTCAAAATGATGGTTGCCCAGCTCACTATGCCCGTCTTGTGCAAGAATATTTAAACCAATAGTACCCAGGACGTTGGATCGGGCGACTTGGTCCTATCTTATGGCCACCCCGATCACCCGACCTAAACCCCCTGGACTTCTTCTACTGGGGTTATCTCAAAGACAGGGTTTACTCAAAACCCATTTCAACATTGGATGAGCTTCGCCAAAATATCACTCAGGTTGCGGATCATATCAATGGTAGAAGATATGCACGACGAATAAAAAGATCTTTTTTAAGGCGATGCCGTGCCTGTATTAATGCCGGTAGCCAACAATTCGAACATTTACTGTAATACTAATAATGCAAAAAAATAAAATAAATGTAAATATTTGTACCCTTTGTTTTGATTCATGCAATATTTTTCAGCAAAAATCCTGTGTCACACAGAAGTTTTTATAGAGTATTATACCATTTTAGAATCTTGGTTAATTGCGTCAAGTCCCCCGTGACCATGGGTGCTGGAAAGCGCCCGAAACGTCGGGAATTAAAAATAAAAGTAAATAAAAAGTAAAAATAAACGCTATAAAATCCGTAAAAGTAGTTTTAATCATGTATAGTGTTCACGTAAATATAAGAAATCATTATGCGTCAATTTAAAAAAAAAACTTGCCATAGTAGTGTCAGTACTTTTTTTACACCACGAAGAGTGAAAGTGGACTGAAAGTAAAAATCTTTCAAAATTTTAGGGGAAAAAATAATTTTGATTGATTTTTGTGTAAAAACTAAAAGAAAATTAATAATGTGCTCATGATAGTTAAAAATATCATATCGGGGTATCGATTTTCGAAGAATTTCATTTTTTTTGTGATTTCAAAAACGATTTAGGTTTTTTTTCTTTTTATTTTTTCTCGGGTATTCATGAGCAGGTCCACCCTCTGGTGCCCATTTATCGTTGAATTTTGGGACACGTTGTATATAAGGAAATGGTATTTACGTTCCGTGCATTCACATTCTGTAAAAATTTCAACTGTCTACCTATTACGGATCATGAGATACAGCCCGTGATAGACAGACGGACGGACGGACGGACAGCGGAGGCTTAGTAATTGGGTCCCGTCCCCTTCGGGTACTGGACTCTAAAAAATAGCATTTTGGCCGAAATGGGAAAACGGGAATCACCTGCCGGGCAAGATCTCCAACCCGGAAAGCGGCCAACGCTACGTGTACGCAGCTTGTTTTATATATTACAAATTCGTTCGGCAATAGCGTGATATGATATGATATAAGCTCTGATTTCCTCCTGCTCAGATCAAAGGTCAGATCCATTTTTCAAGAAAATTGGATGAGTCAAAGAGTTGCTTTGTAACCAGTGGTGAGTTGAGATGAATGCGTAAAGCTGAGGCAAGCAGTAGTGACAACGGTCCATGTGGGAGTAAGTAGTTCGAAAACTTCTTAAATATGATATAAGGTTCGATTTATTTATCCAGGGCCCCCACTACCATATGGTCAAAGTGTGCAATGCACACGGGCGCCATCCTTTAGCGGCGCCAAAACCCAAGGTTAAAAATTGAAAATTTTTCCAAAAAAAAAATTAATTTTAAAATAAAAGTTGAGAAATTAAATAGGATTAGGTATAAATACACACGAAATTTTATTATTACATCATCCAGTTACTGCCGATTCCTATGTTGCGAGAACATGTCAGGCGGTAGTTTCTTGATTTTTTCCTGTTCAGACATAAACAATGCCCGGAGTCCTATAAAAGCGATGCATCGCTAGAGGCGTTTTTACTTGCGCCCTCCTGTCTGCCAAGGAGGGTCGCGTTCGTATACGGCTTACAGATCTCTAGTCAGATCGTTAAGCCAATTCCTAAAAGGTTGGGTTTAGTGGGTAAAAGTCACCACATAACCACGCATCCGGCTGCGTGGTATCCTAAGAGCATTCCCAACCTCCCTCCCCCGCTTTCCGGAGGGTTGCCCATATTTGTTTCGGGCGCAAAAAAAGGCGTTTTTAAACCGGTTAGTTCACTGGACCGTGCAACAAGTGCATAAAAACAAGTAATCTCATTAATTTTTACATTTAAAATTATTTTTATTTTGTCAAGTGTTGTGTTGTATATATTTATTTGCTACTTTTTTTTTTTCTAAAAAATTAAGTGCTGACTGCAATTTCAACGGTTTGATTTTTTATAAAATGGTAAGTGTTCCCTACTTTATACTATCAACATTAACCATTTATGGGAATCCTACCTGTTTTCTGTTCCTGTCTGTTTTCTGTTTTTATCTGGTACAACTTCTGCATAAAACATTTTTTTCTATCTGACATAATAAAGGCTCTAGGAAGCACGCAAATATAGTCAAAGACCCTGTACGAGTTTAAAAAAGTAATTGGTTTTTTATCCATAACTCGCTTAGTTTTTATGCTATCGATATTTAAATAAAACTTTTTTGTAGGTTTTTAAGGGCTATAAGATCAAATTAGTTTTTTTACTTACAAATTGCTTTTTACTTAAATATGCAATATGCAAACTTGGTGCTTATTATTGTGATTACTTTAGAATTTAATTCCTCATTCCCATAAGTACTAATTATTTATTTGTTTTTCAGGATAAAAGAAGGAAGAAAGAGACCTTCAGGTGCAAATATTCGCGAGCAAAAAAAACTGAGACTACAAGAAAGGGAAAAATCGCTGGATGTTTAAAGCACTTCTTGCAAAACAATGAAGATTCCACGGAGACTATCGATGCGACCGAATCTCAAGATTCTAAATCCGTAATATCAGTAACCATGAGTGGACCATCTGAAATTTCAACAGAGGCGACTACGGTAACATCAGGTCCTGCAACAAGTGGCGGCGGTTGTATCAGCAAAACAGCTTCTACTGATGCAGAGCCCAATGAAGCGATGACACCGTCTACAGTACTTGAACAATCCACTTCGGGTAGTTCAGCTTGTGTAAGAAGTTCGGTAATGTCAGCTAACGAAATACCTGCTGCAAGTGACACTTTCAAAGAAGGCTTTAATAAAGCTAGCGTCGATATAATTGCATCCGACCCCGGTTTGTGGCCCGAAATATTCACCAATGAGATAGCTAGAATATTGGTTAAATGTGGTCCGCCCTTGATAGATATCAGTTTTATCTGATTGGCAACACTTGTCTTTGCTAATAGACACGAAACGTCAGTTTTACACAATGGGTAAATTAAAAAAAAAAATGTTGTAGACATCTACGACTGTTAATGCTCATCACCTGCAGATTTCAGAAACGGAAAAAAATTGGCGCGACGTGTTGGAAAGAATTATTGTGATTTTTAAATATTTATCTATACAATGCTTGGCATTTCAAGGTTCTTCGAAATTACTTTTCGAACATGATAATGGAAATTTTCTAAAAGCTGTTAAGATGATTGCCTCTTTTGATTTCGTGATGAGATAGCACGTTAGCCGAGTGTGTAACTCCCAAACAAAATGTGTTAAAATTACTCAAAATTTAACTCTGCTGTGTTTCGTATGGTGCGTGTAGAGAACCGAGGTCCCTTTTTTACATGAGTAAATTCCTACGCATACCCGCCTCGCGGGAGCAGGGAAGGTTTATATCGGACATGCACGCTTTCGCGCACATCCGCGACCCCTCCAGTGCTGGCTGCCCCATGGCAGCCCCTCCTCGGAAGAGGACTACTCCTCCCCCTACCCCTTCTCAGGTGAACACATGCCGTGGTCCGATGCGTGAAGGCCATGCACCAGGAAAAACGAACACTCAGAAGCACAAGCCCTCCTGACACCAGCGGCGGACCTGGTCTGTGGCTCCGCTGCCAACCAAGATTCAGCTGCGGTGTGTAGGAAAAGCGGCGCCTCCCAATACCGACACTCCTCTCCCCCCGCAGCCCCACCACCACCGCATCAATTAACAGTGCGGTCCCATCAAAGTCGCAGAGGATAGGGTGAGTGGTGCATCGACACATCAAAGTCGCAGAGGATAGAGTGAGTGGTGCATCGACATACCAGTACTCCTCTTCCTCCGCGACTCCACCTTGACTGCAGCGGTAGGGAGAAAGGGCACCTTCTCGCCGCGGCCTTTGTTCACCGTGGGTGACGAAGCCATGGCTACTAAGCCCCCCCGCCAAGGCAAGGTGAGAACCCGTTCGGGGGGGGGAGAACCGAGGTCCCTGCTTACTGGAAAGGAGGCATTCCACCTTAGTCCTCACGGGTAATAACGAATCTGCATTTTTATTCGTAATCGGGGATAGATGTATAAGTCTATGGGCTACGGTAACTACTTACCATCAGGAGAACTGTGTGCTCGTTTGTCACCCTTATCCTATAAAAAAATCATCTAAGAAAGCATAAGTGATTCACGTCGAAAACTTCATGTTTTAGGGTTTTAGGTTTTATGTCAGAATATTTAGTGCAATACAAACCAATATCATATTTTTAATGCCTGTCTTTTAGGTCGAATACAACCATAATAAAAAGCTTTTAAGCTTTAGCGCAACACAAAGCCAAAATTATGAAAAATTTTGATTTAATATTAATAAACAATATAGCCGTGGTAGCTCAGATGGTTAACGCTCGCTGTAAATATAACAGAACGCGAGTAACCCGGGTTCGATCCCTGCCGGCACCAATGAAATTGTTAACTGCAATTTTAAGTGTTGATTTACCACGTGCCACGGCGGTGAAGGAAAACATCGTGAGGAAACCTGCATGTCTGAGGAATAAGAAAAAAAATATTTCGAAGACATGTGAAGTTCGCCAACACGCATTGGGGCAGCGCGGTGGACACTTCCTTGCCCTAAAACCCTCTCAGAAATGAGGGGAGGCCTGTGCTCAGCAGTGGGACGTATATAGGCTGTAACTTTACTTTTTTACTTTTATTAATAACAATACTATAAAATCATCAAAATAGTTCACTTTAATGTTTGTTTTTTTTTTTTCAGTGTATTTGAATATAAATTTATCTATTTAAATTATACTAATATGGAGTCAAAATACAAGTAATGTTATGTTATATATACTCGACCAAATACCATGTTACTCCAAAGTAACCCCAACCCTCGAATAATTTTACTCTTTAGTCTTACTCTCAGGTAACTTCGTTTGCGTTTTTCCAACACAAACCTAAAGTACTTAGCCCATAGATCTTGGAGTTTATACTAAATTTATGCTTTAGCTAATACTGGGTATTGTTGCTCTAGATTTGGTGAATGATTAATGAATGAACATGTCGACCAACTAAAATCGAAATACAATTATTTATATAGCGCAATCCAATATGTTCTGTCCACTTATAGTTTGTCGGATTATAATAGTGTTGTAGCAGCCAGATTAATCAAACCTAAACGGGAATAAATAATATATACTCCGCTGCTACCATAACGCGGAAGGCGAGAATAAATAAAAAAACATTTTATTTCCTAATTATTCTTGGCTACTGAGATACTGCGGACTGTATATAGATAATTTGACGTTCTTATAAAGAAACAAGAAGCAGCCGCAAATATCATTCAGCGCCAAACCGACTTCACACGCCGCTATCGTCACGTATCCGTCGACCAATGGTGAGCCGTTTCTTCAACGCCGCAGTTCGTTTCCTCTTGCTGTTCCGGAGCTGTATTCCACACCGCCGCCGCCCGCCGACTACGCGTGCGCACCGATCTGCATGTCTTATATAGCCCGGTCCAGCGACGTAGCTTCGTGAACAACAAACAAGTCTCACGCCGGGAAACGAAACGTAGATAATTGTATATTTTAAATAGTTTTCATTGGTCATAAAATAAGCAATATAATTGGCTAGGCAAAATATTAATTGTTACCATTGGCAAATCAATAGTGAGCCAGCCATATAAATATAGGCAAGGTTGATGCAAAATATATTCCATTCCATTCCGAATCCCATTCGACAGTACCTTCATAAACATAAACAGTAGTTTCATTTCTCCACCTTAAAGAAAACCACTCGGAGTCTGTTAATAGTGGACAGTTCGTCTTCACTATTACAGTGGTGACCCCGTACGAACACCGAGGGGGAAGATCCGGTACGAACACCAAGAAGGAACACCCTGCGACGTACCACTACTATTGCACGAACACCGCGAAGGAAACCCGTACGAACACCGAGAAGGAAGACTTCAGTTTATATAAAATCAGTGTAATCAAGCCGTCATTATGGAGCAGGAGGCAAACACATATACATCAAAGCCTATATATACATCAAACCCGGTAAAGGAACCAGAAATCGCCGGTATATCTCTATCGTTAAGAATACCACCGTTTTGGAGAGACAAACCACGACTTTGGTTCGTCAGTTTTGAAGCCGCAACGAATGGTTTAAAGAAGAGCCAAGCGCAATTAGCACAGATGGTGATAGCCCAACTTGAGAAACAAGACATCGAACAAATTGCGGACCTGTTGTACAACCCACCAGCAGTCGACCAGTATAATTCACTGAAGGATCGTCTGATCTCCGCATATGAAGAATCCGACAGTCGACAGCTACAAAAACTTCTATCAGAAATAGAACTTGGAGACCAGAAACCCACACAACTCCTACGCAAAATGCGTACTTTGGCGCGAGATAAAGTTCCGGATTCAACACTACGGCTAATGTGGGTAAACCACCTACCACCACATATTCGATCGGTAATAGCAGTCAGCGAAACATTCAGCACGCAGACGAAGCTCGACGAACTGGCACTCCTGGCGGACAAGATGATCGAAAACAGCAGTAGCTCACACATATCGATCATCGAAGGCACTTCAACAAAGGCCAATGATACCCAGTTTCTTCTCGAAGAAATTCGGAAGCTATCATTCGAAGTCGCCGCGCTCAAAGCTTCCCAGCATCATACCTTTTACCAGCAACAGTACAACCAGCGCAATCAGCAACACCGAAGATCACCTTTTAGTCGCAACCGCTCTGCAAGTAGAAGTCGAATAAGCTCAACATCAAGATCCCCTTACTGCTACTATCATCGACGTTTCGGGGTCGAGGCAAGAAAATGCACAGCACCGTGTACATTCAAAAATGAAAATACGAATACGGAAAACTAACTAGTACGCTCGATGCGACGGGATCCAGCGTAACAGCAAAGTCCTACCGTCTTTTCGTCACCGATAAAAAAAGCAAGCTCACTTTCCTTATCGACACCGGAGCAAATATCTCAGTGTTACCGCCGAAGCAAGGACAGAAGTTGAAGCCACTAGATTTTCAACTCTATGCAGCAAACAATACGGTTATTCCTACATATGGAGAAAAAACAATGGAACTTGATTTTAATCTACGCCGACCATTCAAATGGAGATTTATCGTCGCTAAAGTCAGCAAACCAATCATCGGTGCTGATTTTCTTCAACATCACCAGTTGGTCGTCGACATCAAAAATAGAAGAATCATCGACGGGAAAACCAATCTTGCATCTCAGTCTTTTGTACAAGCAACCAATCTGCCCACAATAAGAAGCATAGATGTGCAACAACCGTATCACAAGATCCTCGAAGAATACCCTGGTATCACAAGAATAACTTCAATGAAATTAACACCGAAGAACGACGTTGAGCATTTCATCGACACCAATGGACCACCACTTCATTGTCGTGCACGTCCAATCGCACCACACCTATACGAGCAAGTTCGAAAGGAATTCGAAAACATGATTGAGCAAGGAATATGCCGTCCAAGCAAAAGCCCTTGGTCATCACCACTTCACATTGTACCGAAGAAGAACGGAGAATTACGAGTTTGTGGAGATTACAGAAGACTGAATTCTATTACCACTCCTGACCGCTACCCAATACCGCGAGTCAGGGATTTCACTCATCAACTATCAGACAAGACTATATTCTCCACCATCGATCTCAACCGAGCTTACCAACAAATAAGAGTCCGCGATGAAGACATAGAGAAGACAGCAATAATTACCCCAATGGGATTATTCGAATTCCCAAGAATGATCCCAGGATTAAAGAACGGAGGTCAAACTTTCCAAAGATTCATACACGAAGTACTTCATGGACTGGATTTCGTTTTCGCATTTATTGATGATCTCCTTGTTGCAAGCCCTGATAAAGAAACGCACGAAACCCATCTACGCACCGTGCTACAGCGATTAGAAGACAACGGAATCACAATCAACCCTTCGAAATGC